TGCCGCTGGAGAAGGAGCCTAAGAGGGGGGGATGGAGGACAAAGGTGGGGCTCCAGACCGCTGCCTTTCTGTCTTCTCTTTTAGAAAGGGATGCATCTAAATTGCTACAGTAACATCCTGGGTAGGCCTTCCCTGGAAAAATAATGAGAAGAAGAAGAAGAAAAAGTTTGAAAACTACAAAGGATCAAAATGGGACTGTGCTTACTCTTTTTCCAATGAGCAACCTGAAGAGGATATTGCCCTCTGTGATCAGGGTGGGCCACTTCTGCTTCACATAATAAATACATTCCGGTGACAACACTTGGGAAAGGGAAGGCAGGGTTCAAGAGAGCCACCAAGGACTGGAAAGGACTGCTCCTTGGGTATGTAAGTACCCTCATGGTGCCCTCTGTTGTTGGCTAAAGGAAAACCAGGTTGGCACCTGGTTAGAGTTAGGGCAAACTGATAAGCCAATTAAAAATTCAATCCAATTAAAACATATTATCATGAGCAATGCACCCTGCTAGGCATTGGGGGAACACAGCGAGATACACATCTGGATTCCTACTCCCCAAAATAATTAGATATATTTACAAAACGGAAAAATGTTTGATGAGGTGAATTAAGAAGCACTAGGCACTGGATGGTGGTAGCGCAGGGTGAAACACATCACCCTGTAGGACTGAGCCACACGGGAAGGTTCCGGTTTGCATTCGGAGCCCCTGCTAAGTACCCTGGGTATGCAATGTGCCATGATCTGGAAAGGGCTGAGGCTGGGGCGGGGGGTGGTGGCATCGCCACCCTGCTGGGGTGCTGTCTCTCTGTCTCTCAATCATAGACTAAATCAACTTAAGAAAATAAACACTGGGACCAGCAGTTAGTGTAATGGCTATGTCGCTGGACTCCAACGTAGTCGACCGTGGTTCGTGTCCCGGACCCAGTGACTTAAAACTCACGCCGGGCGCGTGTGCGTGCGTGCCCAAGATCCCGAGAGGAGAATGGAGGAGAAGGGATTGCGGCGTGGCCATCCCCCCGGGGGGTGATTTCTCGCTTTCTGTCTCTCTGTCTCTCTCTGTCTGGTGAGCGCACGTGCCCCATAGCGAAAACCTCTCAAAAAAAAAAAAAAGAAAAGAAAATAAACACTGTAATATCACAATATTAAAGTTTTGTAATCTACAAATGCAGAATTTGAGGTTTCAAGGTGCTTGATATTTACTCCTAGATCAAATAATTCCACACCAAGAGCAAATGATTGAAAGAAGAAGAAGGAGAAACTTCTTTGGAGGTTGACAGAAACACTGCATGGAATATCTCTCTCCTCACACAGCTTTTTCAGAGAATAAAAATTTGTCAGAGGAACGAGGATGAGAAGCACAAAACATCATGTACAATTGTGTGTGAAAACTGGGGAAAACCATCAAGAAAGAAAAAGAAGATACCAGGAGGGTGTGGAGAGGTTGGGGCCAGTTTCATTAAAAAGTCATTTGGGGGGAACCAGCAGTTAGCGTAATGGCTATGTCGCTGGACTCCCATGTAGTTGACCATGGTTCAAGTCCCAGACCCGGTGGCTTAAAACTCACGCCGGGTGCGTGTGCATGCGTGCCCAAGATCCCGAGAGGAGAATGGAGGAGAAGGGATTGCGGCGTGGCCATCCTCCCTGGGGGGTGATTTCTCACTTTCTGCCTCTCTGTCTTTGTCTGTCTGGTGAGCGCACACTCTGTATAGCAAAAACCTCTCTAAAAAAAAAAAAAAGTCATTTGGGGGGGCATGGTGACAGAGTTACATAAAGAAAGATATTAATGAAAGCACGGAGTGAGCGTATTGACAAGGAAGCAGGGGGAACTATCGGTTTGATCAGGCGGCCAGCCATACCTAATTGATTTTAAGGAGGAATAAGAGAGAAAATGAGATGAATACGATGGGATAAAATGCGTTGAGCACAACGTAGAGGCGTTCTTAAGTGGACCGTTGAACCGGGCAATGTTCTAGAAAATTCATTTGGTGGTAGTATGCAGGATGCATTAGATGGTGAAATGATGCCTCCTTTTCCTCTTCTGTCAGACTCCTTCCTGCCAAGGCCCTCCCAGTGTCACTCTAGCTATCCAACTTTATTTCCGGCTATTTTCCATCAGAAACACACCGTCAAGACGGTCTACACACTTGCATCCTCTTTTTAGAATGCTGCTTGTGTCCCGAATTTCTGGTTTGAGGTTCAGCTCTAGTACCATACCCTTGTGAGTTCAAGGGGAGCACCAACGAAGCCCCAAGGCTTCTGGAAATTGGGGGAGAGGTAGGTTTTTTAGTTGTTGGAATGACAGAGAGTGTTATCGACACCGCGTGGATGGGAGGCACCTTGTAATGCACGGTACAGACCTATATCCACAAAAAAAAAAAAAAAAAAAAAAAAAGTTCATCGTATTGGTTCGTAATGACACTGTCATCGCAGCCTCCACTCAGATAAGTCTTGACCGAGAACTTACAAGGCACCACCAGAAATACATGAACCACAAACAAATCTTGGTGGTATTTTGGCCGTAGGGTGCATGTGCTCACTGGAGAAACAGAGAAAGGGAAAGTGAGAGATCACCCTCAAGGGGAGATGGCCAAGCTGCCATCCCTTCTCCTCTATTCTTCTTTAGGGACTCTGGGCACACATGCACACGCGCCTGACATGATTTTTGGGCCATCAGGTCTGGGCCTCTAATGTCAGTTGGCCATGTGGCAATCCAGTGCCTTAAGCACCATGCCATCTGCTGGCTCCCAGATCTTGCTTTTAAGAAGTTTTAAATGTACACTCTGACAGAGGAAAGGATAATTAAGAGAGTATTACAAAAAGAGTAAATTTCGCAGTGTAATTTTTTTTTTTAGAGATTTTTGCTATAGGGTGCATGTGTTCGTTGGAGAAACAGAGAAACAGAATGTGAGAGATCACCCCCCGGGGGATGGCCATGTCACAATCCCTTCTCCTCCATTCTTTTCTCGAAATTTTGGGCAGGCATGCATGTACCCTGCATAAATTTCAAGCCACTCTGTCTGGGACTTGAACCGTAGTCGGCCATGTCAGAGTCTAGCAATGCAACCATTATGCCATCTGCTGGCCCCCACAATGTGATTTTATATAAATAAAGTTTTAAGTAGGATTCAATTAATGAGTGTGAGAACACTTCCTATAGCTTAAGGTCACAATAAGTGCTTGCTCTGAGAGGTAGAAATGATTCAAATTGTTCTCTTGATTAATGGGAACTGAACTCGACAATGGTCTTCGTTAAAGGTCACTGAGAGATGTCAGAAGTGTTTCAACGTAATTCTCTATGAAAAGAAATTCCAAGACAGATGTGAATGTTTCTGTTAAACCATGACTCCATTCCCCAGGGCAGGTCTAAAGCCCCTTTTGACCAAGATTTTGAGTATACATTAATATACCTCTTCAATGTAGTAGTTGTTCTGAGTAGGATGGAGGTGCCGGTGAGAGATTAGTTACTGAAACGGGCTCCTTGATTTCAAAGGGACACCAGGGTCTGGGATTGGCAAAGCCCATGTAGTGGTATTGAGCCACCTTCCCGATCATGGTTTAGTACACAACACACACACACGCACATGCACACACATACACATACACACACGTTCATGAGGGGGTCTTCAAAAAGCTCTGGAAAATTTGCATTATGAAAAAGCTATGCATAGATTTCAAATTTCTTTTGTTTTAAAATAAACTTGTACTTTAATTCCATTTTCCATTAACTTTTTAAATCCCTTCATATATTTACAAAAATAAAAAACTTTGGGGCCAATAGATGGCATAATGGTTACATTGCTGGACTCCCACATAGTTGACTATGGTTCAAGTCTCGGACCTGGTGGCTTAAAACTCACGCCAGGCACGTGTGTGCGCTTGTGTGTTCAAAAGCCTAAGAGGGGAATGGAGAAGGGACCGTGGCGTGGCCATCCCCCTGGGGGGTGATTTCTTGCTTTCTGTCAGTCTCTGCCTGTCTCTTGGCATGCG